GGAGGGAGGGAGGGAGGGAGGGAGGGAGGGAGGGAGGACTCTGAGGGACCAGCGTCTTCGGACACAGCAGGACTGATGCTTGTGTGGAGTCTGACTGTGTGGCAGCATGCACAAGGCCCACACAGGTTAAGTCAACACAGGAAGCTATCTGGAATTGGTAGCTGCTGAGAAAAGGAAAATCACTTTTCTCTAATGGAGCATCACTAGGTATATCAACCATACTTGTTCAAGAGTAGTTAGCCATCACAAAACAAACTCACCAATATTTTTGTGGCCTTTTTGTTTGTTTTGGCATTGTCTTATTAGTTTCTTATTTGTTTTGATTTCATTTCTGTGGGGGTATTGGGATTTTGTTTCTTGTTTTCTTGTGTGTGGATAGGGAGATAGGAAGATCTGGGAGGAGCTGAGAGAGGAGGACAAACATAATCTAAATATATTGTATGCAAAAAATTTTAATTAAGGAGAAAAAAGATATTCTAGGAGCTGGAGAGATGGTCAAGTGGTCAAGAGAGTAAACTTCTCTTATAGAGAACCTGAGCTTGTTCACAGTACTCACCGAAGGAGGCTCACAACCACTTGTAACTCCAGCTCTAGGGGGGTCCAATGCCTCTGTGGGTACTTGTACTCATGCAAATACCCACACAGAGATACATTACACATATCATTAAAATAAATCTTTAGGAACTGATTTTTAAAGAGAAATGGCTCAATGTTTAAGAGCATTGTCCATTCTTCTACAGGACCCGGGTTCAATTTCCCAGCACCCACATTGTTGGGTGATTTCCTACAGAGCTGCATTGGGTTTGATTCTGGAGTGCTAGCTAGCACCTAGCTTTGATCTGCCTTTTGTGATTGCTACCTTCTGTCTCTGGTACCTTCTATTTGAAGTCTTCTCTGAGAGTTTCCTAGGGGTTCAAAGCCTATGTAAGTTGGTTGAGGGGCAACTCAGAAAACCAGTATTCCTTAACTGAGAATTTGCATTTGGCATTGTCCCTTTGGGGAGCTTAGATAAGAGGTTTTGGGATACAAAAATTAACTTGTTTAAGGTGTAAATTGAAAAACAATTAAAAAAAAGTCCTTTTTTTTTTTAAATTAAGAAGTTTTCTGTTCATTTTACATACCAACCATAGGTGCCCCTCTCCTCCTTCCTCCCCCACCCCACCCCCACACCCCACTCCACCCCTACCCCCACCCCCTCCCCGCCATTCCCACCTTCTCCAAGGCAAGGCCTCCCATGGGGAGTCAGCAGAACCTGGTACATTCAGTAGATGCAGGTCCAAGCCCCTCCTCCCTGCACTAAGGCTGTATAAGTTGTCTCACCATAGGCACTGGGCTCCAAAAAACCCACTCAAGCAGCAGGGACAGACCCTGATCCCACTGCCAGGAGCCCCTTAATAAGCAGATCGAGCTAAACAACTGTCTTGCCTATGCAGAGGGCCTAGTCCAGTCCCACAGACGCTCCACAGCTACTGGTCCACAGTTCATGAGTTCCCACTAGTTTGATTTTGTTGTCTCTGTACATTTCCCCATCATGATCTTGATGCCCCTTGCTCATAGACTCCCTCTTCTCTCTGAGATCTCCATGAGCAAACGGGGGGGAAGGAGTGAGGAAATGGAGGGAAGGGGATGGGGATGAGATCATAAGGGAACGGGATGGTCAAGCTGGAATAGGGACAGAGTGAGAGAGCAAGAAAAGAGATACCATGATAGAGGGAGACATCAAGGGAACAGGGAGAAACAGGGAGCTAGGAAAGTTTCCAGGAATCCACAAGGATGACCCCACCTTAGACTACTAGCAATAGTGGAGAAGGTGCCTGAACTGGCCTACTCTGGTAATCAGATTGGTGAATACCCTAACTGTCATTATAGAGCCTCCATCCAGTAAATGATAGAAGCAGATGCAGAGATCCACAGCCAAGCACCAGGCTGAGCTCTAGAAGTCCAGTAGAAAAAAGTCCTTTTTAAGCTATGAGGAGTCAGTCCAGAAAGATTGACTCCCTTGCAGCTGGAAAGGCTTATTTTCTCCTCCAAGTGCCTCAGTATCTTGATTCCACTAACCCACATGAACCCACACCCCATATACAACACCACACACACAGTGGGTCACAATTGTCTGTAACTCCTTAGTTCTGGGGGATCCCACACCCTCTTCGGGCCTCTGTAGGGACTGCACACATGTAATGCACAGACATACATGAAGGCAAAATACCCATACACATAAAATAATTTTTAAAAAATTATTCTCAAAAAATAAAATGAATCTTTAAAAAATAAAACATTTAAAAAAGATATTCTATTAAAACAACAACAAAGTGTTGTTTTGTTCCAGTAGCAAATTTTAAATTAAGGACTGACTCATAAATACTTTGTATTTACTGATCACCAATAAATGTTTAAAGAAATATCAAGCCATCAAATCCACAAAGCAACACAAGTTCAAATATATAATCACCATTTCCCATTAAAGAGAAAACAGTGAGCATCTTTGTTTTCTAATAAGGTGCAAGTTCACAGCTGCTACTGATGGGAAACAGGGCAAGGATTAAAGGGCAGAGAAGCGTCTCATCCAGTTCAAGCTGTGTAACAGGAAAATCTGGCTTGGAAACAAATGACCAAAGTATTTCTCTATGGAAATTAGGTCAAAGGGAAAGAGATTAAACACCAACATATCTCATCTGTGCTTGATTCTGAAAGGCTGCTTAAATTTAACTAGAGGGGCCAGGCAGTGGTGGTGCACGCCTTTAGTCCCAGCACTTGGGAGGCAGAGGCAGGTGGCTCTCTGAGTTCCAGGCCAGCCTGGTCTACAGAGCAAGTTCCAGGACAGCCAGGGATACACAGAGAAACCCTGACTCAACAAAACAAAACAAAAATTTAACTTGAATATTGGGTTTGCAATACAAGTTTACAGTGAAACATGTTCGGTATATATTCAAGTTCAATGACTCAATTTTACTTATTAAAATACTATGGAGGTGACATGAATTATAAGGCAGAATTTTTAACTCTTAGAAATACCTTAACGTGGCCATACATTCCCACGGGCTGAAGGCCTAGGCAGAGCAATAGGGGGAAAAGTGAGCTGACCCAGAGGGTAACAGTGCACGCTGTCAAGATCAATGGCCTGAGTTTGACCTCTGGGGTCCATATAAAGGTCGAAGGAGAGAACCAACTCCTTCAAACTTCACTCAATCCTATATGTGTGAGACCACATACACACATACACACACACAATAAACAATCAAACAAACAAATAAATAAAACAAAAAAACTTAAGGGAGAAAGTCGGCAGATTGCTGGTATTCCTTTTTTCTGTCTCTGGTGGGCCATCATACATCCTCGTGGCCACAATGTCCTTGTCCAAGTACACAGAGCCAAGTAAAATGGACTGAATGTTCTGAAACCATGAACGGAAAGAAACCCTTCCTCTTTTCAAGCTGTCTGGTCAGTACCTTGTCACAGAAACAAGGAAAGTACCTGACACGGATGCAGAGGACCAGGCCACATGGTCCACAAACTGCTTGGCCTTTTCCTATAAATGTTTGCTGACTAGAGCTATGCTATGTTTAAAAGAAACTGTGTGGCAAGTATCTGGAAACGGTCGCGTACCTAGAATACATACAGAGCTCTTCAGCAACAGAGACAACCTCATCTAAAAGCCAACAGTCTTCAAATAGTCATTCACCTAGCCAAGAACACCCACAAATGGCCAAAAACACAGGAAGATACTAGACATTATAGGTCATCAGCAAAACACAAACTAGAACCACACAGTGAGTCCTCAGGGCAGTGCTCTTACAAAGTGAACACAGATTAGAACCACA